ATCACCCATGCTTCACAGCCATATAAGAGCGTTGGTAAAACTATACTCTCATACATTCCCCTCTTTGCTTCCAAGGACAAAGTTCTTTGTCTGAACAGGCTCCTAAATGCACCGCTCACCCTTTTCCCCTCATCAATTCTATGATTTACCTCATCTTTCATAGACCCATCCGCTGACACGTCCACTCCCAAATATCTGAATACATTCACCTCCTCCATACTCTCTCCCTCCAATCTGATATCCAATCTTTCATCACCTAATCTTTTTGTTATCCTCATAACCTTACTCTTTCTTGTATTCACTTTTAATTTTCTTCTTTTACATACCCTACCAAATTCATCCACCAATCTCTGCAACTTCATTTCAGAATCTCCCAAGAGCACAGTGTCATCAGCAAAGAGCAACTGTGACAACTCCCACTCTATGTGTGATTGTTTATCTTTTAACTCCACGCCTCTTGCCAAGACCCTCGCATTTACTTCTCTTACAACCCCATCTATAAATATATTGAACAACCACGGTGACATCACACATCCTTGTCTAAGGCCTACTTTTACTGGAAAAAAACTCCCTCTTTCCTTCATACTCTAACTTGATCCTCACTATCCTCGTAAAAACTCTTCACTGCTTTCAGTAACCTACCTCCTATACCATACACCTGCAACATCTGCCACATTGCCCTCCTATCCACCCTGCCATACGCCTTTTCCAAATCCATAAATGCCACAAAAACCTCTTTAGCCTTATCTAAATACTGTTCACTTATATGTTTCACTGTAAATACCTGGTCCACACACCCCCTACCTTTCCTAAAGCCTCCTTGTTCATCTGCTATCCTATTCTCCGTCTTATTCTTAATTCTTTCAATAATAACTCTACCATACACTTTACTAGGTATACTCAACAGACTTTTTTTTTTTTTTTTTTTGCACTCTCTTGTGTCCCCTTTGCCTTTATACAAAGGAACTATGCATGCTCTCTGCCAATCCCTAGGTACCTTACCCTATTCCATACATTTATTAAATAACAGTGCCAACCTCTCCAAAACTATATCCCCTCCTGCTTTTAACATTTCTACCTTTATCCCATCAATACCAGCTGCCTTACCCCCTTTCATTTTAACTACTGCCTCACAACTGGCTCTTCCTCATTCCTACAAGATGTTATTCCTCCTTGCCCTGTACACAAAATCACAGCTTCCCTATCTTCATCAACATTTAACAATTCTTCAAAATATTCCCTCCATCTTCCCAATACCTCTAACTGTCCTTTTAATAACTCTCCTATTTTTAACTGACAAATCCATTTGTTCTCTAGGCTTCCTTAACCTGTTAATCTCACTCCAAAACTTTTTCTTATTTTCAACAAAATTTGTTGATAACATCTCACCCACTCTCTCATTTGCTCTCTTTTTACATTGTTTCACCACTCTCTTAACCTCTCTCTTTTTCTCCATATACTCTTCCCTCCTTGCATCACTTATGCTTTGTAAAAACTTCTCATATGCTAACTTTTCTCCCTTACTACTCTCTTTACATCATCATTCCACCAATCACTCCTCTTCCCTCCCGCACCCACTTTCCTGTAACCACAAACTTCTGCTGAACACTCTAACACTACATTTTTAAACCTACCCCATACCTCTTCGACCCCCATTGCCTATGCTCTCATTAGCCCATCTATCCTCCAATAGTTATTTATATCTTACCCTAACTGCCTCTCTTTTAGTTTATAAACCTTCACCTCTCTCTTACCTGATGCTTCTATTCTCCTTGTATCCCATCTACCTTTTACTCTCAGTGTAGCTACAACTAAAAAGTGATCTGATATATCTGTGACCCCTCTTTAAACATGTACATCCTGAAGTCTACTCAACAGTCTTTTATCTACCAATACATAATCCAACAAACTGCTGTCATTTTGCTGTACATCATATCTTGTACACTTTTTTATCCTCTTTTTTCTTAAAATATGTATTACCTATAACTAAACCCCTTTCTATACAAAGTTCAATCAAAGGGCTCCTATTATCATTTACACCTGGCACCCCAAACTTACTTACCAAACCCTACTTTAGCATTCAGGTCCCCTACCACAATTACTGTCTCCCTTGGTTCAAAGGTTCATATACGTTCACTTAACATCTCCCAAAATCTCTCTCTCTCTCCTCTACATTCCTCTCTTCTCCAGGTGCATACACGCTTATTATGACCCACTTTTCGCATCCAACCTTTACTCTAATTCACATAATCCTTGAATTTACACATTCAGTATGTCTCTCAGTGTATATACATCAAGAGTTTAAGCCCTGTTTTAATTGTTAAAATGTTCATGACTGGTGGTGAACAGACAACATGCAGCCTTAATGACCCTCGTGTAGTAGATAGGCTTTAAACCAACATTAACCGGTCAGCTGGTGAACGGTTCATTATTCAAAGAATTAAACTTATTATCCCTTTCCTTGGATCGGATATGATAATGACACACTCCATGAATAATGTGTATTAATATCAATAATGAAAATAATAATAATAATTATATTAATGCTAATAATATTAACAATAATAATAGTAATGTAATCATGTAATTTGTCCTACAAAATTTTTTTATTTCATTTCATTCATAAGAGAGCAGTAAACCCATCAGAGTAATAAAATGCAGAAGTTTTAAATAAAATAGGAGGATCCTACCATTTAAAATCTAAGACACAACTACCCTCCATTCCCTTGGATCAGACCTGATCACCTCCCATTCAGGTTTAGAGCATCTTGTGTATAATAAAAATAATAAGATACTGGAGCCTTTAAGGTAAGTGGTTATTGCACAATGGATATTAACCCCTTGACTGTCGCAACCCCCAATCCTGAGGTGTCTCCTGGTGTCGCAAAATTTCAAAAAAAAATTATTTTTTCTTATGAAATGATAGAGAATCTTTTCCCGATTGTAATGACACCAAAAAAACGAAATTTGATGGAAAACTGACGGAATTATGCTCTCGCGAAGTTAGCAACCTCGGCGATATTTACAAATCGGCGATTTCGCCCACTTTGAGCCCTATTTTCGGCTAATTCCGTTGTTCCAGTCGACCAAACTCATAGCTGTTTCTTTAGAACTCCATTTTTCTATCGATTGAGTACAAGAAACTACCCATTTACCGATTTCAACTACCTAATAATGTGGTCAGAAATGTGCAATTTGGCCAATTTCACGAAAATTAAAAAATATGACAATTTCAAAATAAGGTCCAGAATGAACAATGCAGACATTCCTGGCTCTAAAATAACATTTTCTTTGTTCATCAGTCATGTGTCCAGACCCCTCTGTTATTACTCTTGCTTTCTATTTTGAATTTTTATTCAAACAAAAAATAAAAGACTTACTATTATGCAGACTACTGCAATACTGTAATAATTGTATAAATAACATCAACCCATTATGACTGCATATTAGAATGGCTAGTTGGACATTTATTGGACAATAACATCATTTGTTTACTTTTGAACATTGGCAAAAATCAAACATTTCCCCTACTTTGAGCTCCATTTCCAGGTTCTTTTTATAGTAAAATCAATCAAAATCACCTCTATTTCTAAAATATGTTTTCCATTCTATCAAATGAGATCAAGAAAATGAGAATACAACCGTAAATACTATACGAAAATAGACCACAAAGTCGGCATTTTAATTAAAAAAAAACGGTCGGAGTTTTTTTTTCTCATTATGCACTGCATGCTCCAGGATTTTTTTTATATGGTGCACACTGACCACACAGACCCATTCTCTCACATGTGGGCCTACCAGCTTTCTCCTGCTTGATTTGAAGCCGCTAGAATTTATGAGTATATATACGTCAAACACGGTACCTCGTAAGACGATATATATATGGCCGCGACAGTCAAAGGGTTAAATAACACAGCAAGGTTAAATATTAAATAACTTAATTTTTCTGAGATGATAATGTTATTACTCATTACTTGGTCTGTTGTGTTAGTTACTGGCTGTCAAACACACTTATCAATAGTGTTTGTACTCACCTATATGTGGTTGAGCCATAGCTCCTGGCCCCACCTCTTTGCTAGTTATTACAAACCTTTTGTGTGTGTGTGTGTGTGTGTGTGAATAACTCTCACAGTTGTGAGGTAGAGTGTTAATTTTGATATTTTTAAGCACATGTAATGTTAATATTCTAAGTGTTGGCTGGTATCAATCGCTTTTTCATCGTCCAACTCATCCTTGACCTGGCTGCGCAGCTGACAGGAAAGTCTGGCCTCAGACTGGTCTGTGAGAGTAGGAAAACAGTAGAAACTGGTCACAAGTTTGTCATAAGTAAACCATACTACCACGGGTGGGGTTAGAACCCACGATCAGAGAGTCTCCAAACTCCTGACCGTCGTGTTAGCCACTGCGCCAGCTAGCTTTGTTTGTAATCGTGTCATTACGATTTTGTGAGTCTTGTCATAAGTAGTTGCTCAAGAAATATAACTCAAATGTTACAGCCTACTGGGGATGCTTTGTCTCAGCCTTCTGATCTAGGCCTTTGTTTTGAAGATATACATATACTGTACTGTACTGTACATTTTTTTCACTCTAGTTTTAATTTCTAAATACTTTGTCTATGTATATCTCTGTGATTTTGTTTTTATCATTATGCAATACTTGAACATTGCATACTGGTACTTATCTCCTGTATAGTGCATAATGTCTCTGAAAATATTTAGAGTATTTTTAAGAGTAACTGGGAAATAAAATATATTTTTTAATGTGTTGTAATTTAAAATGGTTTTCTTAAATTATCTCTCAAGTTCTGTGAGTTTTTACCATGTAGTAGCAGTGATTGACAAATAATACAATGCCACAATCTTCTTTTTCTGGATTTGTTGACATTTTAAAGGAAATATTCACAGCTGTGACCCTTTATATAATAACTAAAAATGGTTGCAGTTTAGTTATAATGTCCAGGTACTCAAAATCCTAATTATACTAAACTTTTTACTTTGCAGCATCCTCTACATTCGGGGTCAAGACGCAGCTGCATTCCGGGAAGCTTCTCTCCTGCAGTATCGTGAAGGACAGCAGCAGCAGCAAAGCCAGCAGGTGCAGCAGTCACACCAGCAGACTAGTCCAAGGTCAGTTCTTAATTATTTATAACATTACCAAAGGTATAAATATTTCTCCATTATTTTCAGACATGGCTGATTCATCATTATAAACTTTGTCAAAGTTTGTAAATGCTTGAATCTCTATTACTACAGTGAAATACAGTAAACTTTTGCAAGTCAATGCAATCATAGCTCACGATTTCAGTATTCTCGGGTGTCCTCACAACAGTTCGGAAAATGGTTATTGTTACACCTTTGATATCTTCTGTAGAACACTATATAAACTTAAGAATGCTCTAAGTATTCTGTATATCTTGATATTCAGAGCAATGTACTGTATTGTGTTACTTTTAGTAACATAAATAGCATAAAATATAAATTTTAGTCACCCAAAAGATCCTTTCTGATCAGTGGCATTTATAGTAGCTTTTTGACAAAATGATTAATTAGAAAAAACATGTCTCATATCCTGTATCAAGTAAGGCTGTAGCTGTGTCATAACTAGCTAACTTGGTTTTTATTGAACTTTTTTCCATGTAATATTCTTATATACAATATGAGGAATATTTATTCATAATAAGATATCTTTATTACCAGAAGTGCTTCACTTAGATCAAGCACAAACTAAACGATTCATGTAATATTTTACATTTACAGTCATAGTACACCGCCAACATGTCGGATTAAGCTCCAGACTGCCACCATAAAGTGAATAATGCCTTAAAGCGAATCACAGACTTTTTTTCACTTTCCAATGCATATAAAAGCCTAAAAACATGTTTACATTATCATTCCTTAAGTGTGCAGTAGTGCTAGGCCTAAAAAAATGGAATTAAAATAAAAAAAATACTGCAGTGTATTGTGTTGCAAGGCAAGCACTGAAATTGATAAACATGAATGTAATTGAAAGTGCCATATAAGAGAAGCACCTTAAAGCGAGGTATACCTGTATTCTAGTCTTTACATATTAATCAAATTTTCTGTATTGTCGTTCACTGTTCTCTTACTGGTAATTTTAAAGGGCAGTAAAATTTCATTTAGATAATAGATAACATCAATCTAAATACTTTAAGATAAAATAGATAAAATACTACTGTACATACTTTAGGTAAGTCGCAGATCAGCTGGAAAATGCTGAGCCTCTTTTTGTCTCTTTTCAGTAAGACTTATCTCTATGCATAACTTACAACCCCTTACCCACCCTCCTCATTTAGTCTGATAATGTAGCAGTCATAGAGACTTCTCTCATAGCAGTTTAAATATTCATAACCAGTCAAAGTAGTATGTAATGAATATGAGAATATAGTTAATATATCTAAAGTTTTCAGCACAGCACTTTATTTCCGTAGTTTTTTTTTTTTTTTTTTTTTACCATTCAACTTTTATTATTTTTTATCTGTGCTCTTGCAGTCTTCAGTCTTCTTTACTTTCCTTCTCTGCTTTGTTACTGCCTTTATCCTTTAATCAATGACTTGTTAGTTGTAATAATGTTGGTAAATTTACCGACTATGTAAAGTAAAAGGACTCAAGTGCAACTAATGTAACATTTTATTGTGGCAACATTTTGCTCTCCAAGAGCTTTATCAAGCCGTTACAGTTATTATTTACTAAAAAAATAGGGAGCATTGATTTGAAGAGTTTTATATAAATAGATTAGTACTAATAAGGGATACAGATGAATAAGATTGAAAGCATTACACAGATAACCTTCATGTATGAGTAAGAAATTCATGATATTTGTGTATTGTTCCAGTCATGTTATTGTGCCATTTTGTTCTTTATTAAAACCATTTTCATGATAGTACAGTATATTAATCAAAGTAATAATGCATCTAACACAGTTTAGATGCATTAAGAAAATACTGTACTACAATTATTATTATTATTATTATTATTATTATTGTTGTTGTTGTTATTTTTTTCAATGAACTGGCCGTATCCCAACAAGGCAGGGTGACATAAAAAGAAAAATAAACACTTTATGGAAGTTTTTATTTACTTCAAATTTAGTAATTTATACAGGAGAAAGGGTTACTAACCTCTTGCTGCCTTATTTTTTTTTCAACAAACCGGCTGTGTCATAGTGAGGCACAGTGACCTAAAGAGAAAAATGAAAGTTTCTCCTTTAAAATTTAGTAATTTATTCAGGAAAAGTGGTAACTAGCCCCTTGCAGCCTTATTATTATTATTATTATTATTATTTGTGATCAAGAACACCGACAAGATGATGAGTAAGACACATGTGCAACACTAAACATACATTACCATGTACAGTGGAACCTCAAATATCGAAGTTAATCCGTTCCAGGAGTTAGTTCTAAATTCGAAAAGTCTGAAAAGCGAAGCAATGTTTCCCATGAGAAATAATGGAAATACAGTTAATCCGTTCCAGAAACCCAAAAATATTAACAAAATAAACACATTTTATAGAGATTAATTATAGTTTTACATACACACAACAAATATAGTGTTCAATTATGTATTAATAAACATATAAAATAACATTTTACTTACCTTTATTGAAGATTGGTGATGGCATCTGGAAGATAGGGAGGAGGAGAGAGGGAGTTGGGGTAAGTGTTTGGAAGGGGAATCCCCCTCCATGAGGACTTCAGGTAAAGCCCTCTCTGGGGTTACTTCCCTTCTCTGTCTTTTAATGCCACTAGGACCAGCTTGAGAGTTACTGGACCCCTGTCTCACAAAATAACTGTCCACAGTCCTCTGTTTCTGGTGCCTCTTTAAGATTTCCCTAAAATGGGACATGGTTCTGTCACTGAACTTGTTGCAGAGATGGCTTGTTTCAGCTTGCTCTGGGTGATACTTCTCCACAAACATTTGGACATCATGCCACTTCTGTATTATTTCCTTCTGCACATCTATGGTGTTTCTCACTTTCTTTACCACAGGGGTACCACTAGCAAGTTTCTTTGGGCCCATTGTAGCTTATTTCACAGTCCCACAAGCACTAAATACAATAAAATAATCGTAAAATGTTTGAATGAGAGCGCAGGCTAGTGTTCACTCAAGCATCAACAAAACCAGACTGGCTTACGGCGCCTGCATGGGGACGCAGACAGAGTGAGCTGCCGGACAGGTCCGGTACCCAGTGGTTCGAAAATAGGGGCGAGTTCGATAATAGGGACAAAGTTGGTTCGAAAAAAGCGTTCTATTTTCGAAGAGTTTGATAAGTGATACATTCGAAATTTGAGGTTCCACTGTATGTTAAACATGTGTCTTACTCATCAATAAGACTCTCAGATGGGACTTACTAGACTGTACTGTATTTATGAACTGACATCAACAGTTAGTTTTATATTTAGTGATTTGTATAGTAAGTAGTATAGCTGGTAAATTTTGCTTATAATTTCAATAGCTTTATTCCCAGCTGTTTTTATGCTTTGTCTTTAAACATCTCCAGTAGTATTGTACCAGGGAACTATATACAGGCCTAAAATTTTTTTATTTTGTCTGTTTTTCATAATTCAGTATTTCTTGTCTTTTTTTATGCTTTATTTAATTTTAGTCAATGCATTTTCAAATAAATCTGTATTTCCTGGTAAATCCTTCCTCCTGTTTACCTAATATGCTCTGTGCTTACAATATTCCTCTTGCAGCATCTTAGGTTCCTCTTGATATAAGTATTCTCCATTCATTATCTCATCTGGTATTTTGTTTTGTTACTGGTTCCAGGATCTTCCCGAAGTACTACAGGTAAGCCTTAGGGTTGATGCCACATTTATGCCATTGCCCTCCTTATGAGACTGTTTTAAAATAATATTTTTTTAATGTGCTTATTTCCCCTCCTTTATTTTCTGTACCCTGTACATTTCTATCAGAGTGTTCCCTCACTCAACTCTGTTTTTGTGACTTTTTAAGAAATCTTCCATGTCGTTATTTTTTTTTTTCATCGTTTTCAGATTTTTTTCACATCCATAGATGTTTGTTCTCAACCCAGAGTTACTGTAGTCCTTGGAATTGTCTCATTGGTTTGATTCAGTCTGTTTCACTTTGCTCCACTATCCTTCTCGCTTGGACTAGTATATTTTATGGGATCTTTACATTAACATTCCTCAGCTTACTTCATTTTCCATTTCCTAAGGTTGTTGTCTCTGATATTGTTTAAAAATTTTATATTGTTCTTCCTGTACCATTCTGTGCTTTATTTTAATTATTCTGGTACTTCATTAACCATTCTCCCTTGTAAAAGATTATTACATATATAGTAATTTAGTATGTACTATATTTTAAAATCCTAGGACTTTGCTTTTCAACCTTCAGCTTAAATATTTCTAAATCGCTTCCCTAATGTTCAGTATACTGGTGTATTAAGAAATCTTTCTAATTTGCATTCCTTTTATTTTCTGTATGCTTATGGTAATCTGTTTCATGTTGTTTTTATTTTTAATGGTATTTTTTTTTCCATCCTGCATTCCTTTTGGAGGATGTAGTTTTATACTTTCTCTTTGCAGTTTCATGGTGCTAACATTGTTTAAGTTTTAAACATATCTGATTTTAACATCATAACAATACCTTTACTTTAAATTTCACTCAGTATATTTATTTACACATTCTGAATGTCTTTAAAAGAACGTTTTGACTGGACATTCAGAATATCCACAAAATTAAACATTTTTAGAAACAGGGAATTGGCATTATACAGGTACACTGTTGTAATAAAGTTGGTAGAATTACCGACAATATGTAAAGTAAAAGGACACAAGTGCAACTAATGTGACATTTTTATTGTGGCTTGATAAAGCTCCTGGAGAGCGAAACGTTGCCACAATAAAATGTCACATTAGTTGCACTTGTGTCCTTTTACTTTACAGGTTCACTGTTGTTTTTCTGGCACCCTTTGTTCTGAAGCTTTGCCGAATATCCACTTTGTCGGACCAACAGTGGTCATGTTGTAATACTGTACTGTCAACCTCTGCACCACTAATTATACACCTCAAGTGACTAAAGCACTATGGACTTGTAGAAGCTTAAATAAAGCAAAACAGATGAGTGGAGCAAACTCTCAAGTAGAGTCATTGAAGCTAAAACCTTGTAGTTTTAAAAATAGGTTAGACAAGTACATGAGTAAGTATGGGTAGGTGTAAGTTGGACCTGCTTAGCATGGTCCAGTAGGCCTGCAGCACCCTTCCTTCTTAAGTGGGTGTGATTTGGACCTGCCTAGCAACAGCCAGTAGGCTTGATGCAGTGCTTCTCCTTTATAATGTTCTTACGATAGAAAGTGTGTAGATAAAGGCAAACCACTTCAGGTTGAGGGACATCTCAGTCACTAATTTTTTTTTTCACTGCATATGCACATGTTCTGACATCATTATCACTCCCTAAATGCTTGCACGGCTAATTAAAGTAGAAAAATTAGATTTCTTATTTTTATTGCATGTTTAAATGGTAATTTATCTGATGTCTTTATCTCGATTCTTCAGATTTTAATGTTTAAATATCATATTAATTTTCTATTCTATAAAATTTGCATCAGTAACCTCCCTCATAAAGGAAGTCTTTTTATTAACCATTGTATATACTCTTGTGAGTCTTTAAAAAAAAGTCTTCCCTTTCTACTGTGACACACTGAGAGCACAACTAGCTAAGTTTGTTGTGATCTGAGGACACAAGCAATGAGTCAGTTGTGAACTGATGACACAACCAGCTGAGTCAGGGGCATCATAGGTGGAGCTGTATGCACTATCTTCCACTCAGAGAGTGGTATTTAAATCAGTTTACAAAATTATAATTGTTTGCAAAAGAGTAGAAGTGTAAAAGCCAGGTAGATTATTCAGTGTGTTAGGAATGATGGAGGCTTGATCCTCTGATGCCTGAGAAGCAAATCGGAAAAAATAAGAATTAATGGATCATTGCTGTATTTAATTGCAGTGCCTGATTGAATTGATATTCTGTGTTTCTCTCTCATAATGCAATAAGATACATTTCCAAGTCTATGATACCTTTACGATTAATTTAGTTCTGTTGAGAATGCTTCTGTGCTATTATGGAGTTTTCACCATATACATATACACTTGTCAACCCAAAACCACTTAACACACATTACCATGTAACCTCAAAGTTTATTGGAGTTTTTATTTATTCTTGAAAATACTTTACTACACCATACATTGCTACTGGTAAATAGTGTCGTTTAATAAAACTTACAATAGCAACTAAGCTGATTTTGTATATTTACGGCATTATCTTTATAAGTACCATTATTGATGTCGTTAACAAGAATCAATCTCGAATGTTTTTTTATATGGATTAAAACACTATTTGTAAATTGTCTCACTTGGTTGCAGGATCTGATACAGTATTGTATTCTCTTTGTATGAATATAACTAATGTATACTAAAGCTTTGAAACTCTAGGCATGATCAGATATTTTTGTTTTAGTTTGTGTCTTTTATGTGCCACCTTCATTACCTCTCTTCACTTTTCTTGCAGTACACAAATAACCCGCAAGTAGGAGAATGACAATTATGATTATGTTTCTGTCCGACTTGGACCATTATGTAGTGTGACTACTTAATGATCCAAGTCGGACTGAAATGGTCATCATAAATTTCTTTCTCCTGTGTGCAGATTATTTTTATATTGTTCCAGTCATGGTATTGTGTCCTTTTATTCTTTTTCCTGCAATATTTTTCCCTTTTGTTGTTGTGTGTACAGTATATGTATTGTATGCAGTGTGACAGCCAACATTTTGCTGCCAGCACATCATGCACAATGTTCTTCTTGTTTACTAAGGAAAATTTATTTTGTTTTCGAAGAGATTAGCACGTGACTGAATTGAGGGATGATAGACAAAGTACCATGTTGCAAACTGTGTTGCACAACTGTCTTGTGTAGTGGGCATGCCTAACCATTTCTTAGGTGTTGCATGCAGTTGAATTTGATCCCTCTGTATTGTGTATTTCACAAAAAATAATAGTTATACGATTTTACATGAAGATGAATAATTTTTATAGCTTTGTATTAACTTTTTTATCAGTCATGTAATTTTTTGTAGGCCTAGAATTAAAACATAAAAATGTTGCTTAAAATGTAAACACTTTAACTGGAAATTTATTTTGGTAAAGCCTAAAAAGATATTTTTATAGTAGAGAAATAATATTAACCAAATCTTTTGTTTGCAGGTCTCCATACATTCCCCGTGGGGACAGTTCAGAAGACGAAGCTGCCAGCGGAATTGGCAGTGATCTCACTCGCTCAATCACTGCCCCCTCTTTCATTACTCGTGATCTCAGGTCACGGGATCATAGCCATGACGATCTCCTTGGGTCAGTCTCCAGCCTTCCGCAGGGCCAACAGTTAGATAGTGAAGCTGGAGGACTTACGGTAATCAATATCAAACACGCCCTAAGCGAGACTTTAGTGGAGTCACGCACTGATGAATCTAATGTTTCTTCTATCCATATTGGAGGTGAAGATAGAAACCTAGAAGATGACGGAGAGGACAGGCCATTTACAATAACTTTCAAGAACGTCTCTGAAGCACGACCAGAATACGGTCCTAAAGTAGACCTTGAACCGGAATCTGAAGACCATGAGGTTTTAGATGTTCTCCAAGACAATGGCGTAAGTTTGGGTCGACCTCCTGGAGGTGATCCTTATATTTATACTAACCCAGAAAGCTTTACTAATCTACATATTTTAACTGGGACTAACGTTTCATGTGTCACTAATGAGTTTTTATTGGACAGTCGTGCAGGGAATTTTTTATCTGGAGTTGATGGTGCTTTCCAGACAGCCGATAACTTTGAGCTTTCCAGTAGTTCTTCAGCTAACCTTCAACAGCCATCAGCGTTAAGATTAGTTAGGTTTGCAGAATCTAAAGGAAAAAGTGAACATAGTGAATCATCTGATTCAAGTGCTGAAAGAAGTAGCTCTTTACTTGTCGAGTGTGATTCTGATAGACATTCCATTAGTGACTTTTTATCGGATGACTTAAATCCACCAAGTGCGAAGTTGGTGGTAGCTCATATAACAGATGTTGAAAATGTTGTACAGAGGCGTACTATAACAAGTTCCAAATCTTTCGAAGAAACATCACGTATCATAACTCCGTACATTGAAAGACAATACAGTGAGATCATTCCTGACTCTATATATCTGGCTCAAGAGCATTTGATCCCGAAACCTAAACAAATTACAGAACCTATTGGTGGAAATAGTTCAACAACGGGAGAACGAAATAGGATTGTAAGAAGTGAATCTTATTCTATTTGTATACCCAGTCGTTTATCTCCTAGTGAAGAATTAGTAAAAATTAAGCAAAGTCCACTTAACGGCTTTGAACGTGTGCAGCAAACTCCTTTAATAAGTGATAGAGAAACAAAAATATCAAAATCTGGTTTAATTTATAGCAAAACAAAGTTTTCACCAGAAAGTAATCAGGCTCCAGCTATTACAACCACAACAACAACCACTAAAGCTGCATATTCTGTTGGAGCAACATTAACTACAAGTATATCAACTACAGTGTCCTCCTTATCAAACTCGGATAAAACAAACATGACTGTCACACAGGTAGTGCCCATAAGTGACTTTGCTAACTCTGCTGAAATATGTAGCATGTTCAGTTATGTATGGATTATTTTTATTTGCCATTTTTCTTGATTTTGTATGTGTGTATAAAAATTTGCATGTTTGTATGAGCTTGCAATATTAGCAGAGGCTCTAAAACTTGTATATCTTTAAAAACATTCGTGTCCAGCTATGTTATTAGCAAACTTGGAGTAGCTTAGTACATATATTGTTGTTAAGAGCATACAAAGTTTGTATAGTGTGATAGAGTAAGTTTGGTATAGTACTGGCTATAGACTTTACAGTCCATAATGACTTAATTATCTCTTAGGTAATTTATAGGCGTAGTATGTATAGATGCTTCATATCTTACTGGTGTATATACCTGTGATGTACCTGGGACTGGTTTCAAGGGCTCTTATGCCCTTGGAGTCCAATCTGAAGTCAGACTTTATTGAACTCAGATTAAGTTGTAATAAAAAATTGTCAATGAATAAAGAGTAGGATGGACATGATGCATGAACTGAGATCAGTAAATTGACAGTCCAACACTCTGCCACCTCGGCTGCTGGGCTTCTAATAGAGAAGGATCAGAAGTAGTACTTCTCTACATGCTTCTGTCAGAGGTACTAACAGTATGCAGTTGGCTTACAGTTAGTACTTCTGATGGAGCATGGTTTGTGCTGCTACATCCATCTTTCTGTTTATTCTCAGACTTTCTTGTTGACTGGTTAACTAAGCTGTTGCTGACAGCAGCTCACAGACCCACACATAACCTTCACAAACTTTGATTAATGCTGAAAAATTAGATTTTTGGTTGTAATGTTTATGTAGTTTGAAAACTATTTTATACACTACTGGTATGCTAAATATTTTTAACTTAATAAGTTTCAGTATAGGCTTTTAATTGCATAAGAAATATACCTGTCATATTGTATGTTTTTTATGATATAAATATTTAGGCTTAAAGATGCCTTGGTTTTCTATAGGAGTAAGAAAAGAGAAAGAAAAAGTTACGAACATGTGATAGTGAAAGTGAGGCAAAATGAAGAGCTGAAAAATTAAGCAAAACTGTACATGTGGAATATACAGTTGTGAATGCAAGTTGAACAAGCAAGAATAATGTGTGCATGATAATACACTGATCCCCAAGCTACAAAGTAGGCAGAAGGGAATGTACGAGAGTATAGTGGTACCAACACTCTTATATGGGTGTGAAGCATGGGTTATGAATACTGCAGCGAGGAGGGGGCTGGAGGCAGTGGAGATGTCGTGTCTAAGGGCAATATGTGGTGTAAATATTGTGCAGAGAATTCATAGTGTGGAAATTAGGTGTGGAGTTACTAAAAGTATTAGTCAAAGGGCTGAAGAGGGGTTGTTGAGGTGATTTGGTCATTTAGAGAGAATGGAACAAAATAGAATGACTTATAGAGCGTATAAATCTGTAGGAGAAGGGAAGGCAGGGCAGGGGTCGTCCTAGAAAAGGTTGGAGGGAGGGGGTAAAGGAGGTTTTGTGGGCGAGGGGCTTGCACTTCCAGCAAGCGTACATGAGTGTTCAATAGGAGTGAATGGAGGCAAATGGTTTTTGGGACCTGACGAACTGTTGGAGTGTGAGCAGGGTAATACTTTGTGAAGGGATTTGGGGAAACCAGTTAGCCAGAATTGAGTCTTGGAAATGGGAAGTACAATGCCTACACTTTAAAGTAGGGGTTTGCAATTTTGGCAGTTTGGAGGGACGTCTAAACTGTTGTGTCTGAGCACCTCTGCAAAGACAGTGATTATGCGTGAGTGATGGTGAAAGTGTTGAGTGATGATGGAAGTTTTTTTTTTTTTCTTTCTTTTTGGGTCACCCTTCCTCGGTGGGAAATGGCCGACGTGGTTAAAAAAAAAAATGTTTAAACAGTAATTATATACATGTATTTGCCTACTAATAATAATATACTTTCAGAACCCACAAGATTTTTTTATAAATACATTCCATAATTAGTTTTAGCATGAGTGGTAGAGATAAATATAATGTCATGTAAAAAATCCTTATATATTTAGATGGCCTCATTCTGATACTGTATATGAAAAAGTTGTAAGAATGCTGTGTGTTTGTCTGGTTTATGAATGCATGGGGGACTGTGGTAAATACAATATTATCCAGCAGTTTTTTTTACTCCTAGCTAGATATTTCCCTTGTAGTGAGAAGTTAACTGTTTATTGTTGTGTATTATAAACTTGGATGTACAGGTGTCCCTCATTTTCTGCATTAGCTGTGAGCCCGGTCATTGGCAGCTATACTAAACTCAGTCAGATTATTAACACTTAATTCCTCACACTGAGAATCATGAAAGAATAAAAAAGCACAATATAGTGACTGGAAGAATACACAAATAACTCACACACAAGAGAAGAAATTTATGATGACATTTTGGTCCAACTTGGACCATTAACTAGTTGCACAGTGTTACTAGTTAATGATCCAGACTTCATTGTAAGTTTATTTCTCCTAAGTGTGGGTTATTTATGTATAGTAAGAATCCTGAATACATTACATGAGCTGATCACATACTTCTAATGATTTCACACATACAGAATTATTGAATGAAGTAAAACTTTGTATAATAGTAAATTTGTATAATGTGAATGAGGGAAGTCTATCTTTAAAAATATGTTTTATAAGTTTTTTGGTGTCAACTCATTTTGCTTGATGTTTCTCAAGATATAATGAGAACTTTGCTTGATGTGTCTCAAGATGTAGTGAGAATTTTGCTTGACATGTCTTAAGATGTAGTGAAAATTTTGCTTGATGTCTCTCAAGATTAGTGAGAAATTTGCTTGACATGTCTCAAGATGTAGTGAGAATTCTAACATTGCATGCATCTTTGTTCATTTGTTTTGCTGGTTTTAAGAAAAGTATATATAGTCTGGATGCACTGTTACACCCTCAAAGTTTAATAAAAAAAAACTGATGGATAGGGTAATAAAAATTTAATTGCATTATATAAATTTCTGAACAGTTGAAGTTTATTATCTAATAAAGTCATGTTTTGAAAACATAATGAATATTATGAAGACAGCTTTAGAAAGAGTGCATGCAGACTTATAAAGTTATTCTGTATTTTAGTTATTTTGTTAATTTTGTAGTGCTTATTGACATCTTAAAATTACTCTACAGTTGAATAAGTTGAAATATACAAATATTCATTACAAGTTTTTCATCACCATTTTCTCATATATTACCCCAAAAGAAGAGAATATTTCACAGAAATTACTAAATCTGCCTTAAACAGGGTATTACTGTGGCAGCCTCTGAGGGTCGCTCTGCTTCTTCGAGCCCCATGTTGGATGGCAAACACTGGGGTCCTGAACGCACAGTTGAGGTAAGACTTGTATTTTCATACTGGAAAGATGTATCTTTACATTGAATATAATTTATTTAATCTTTCCTTATAATATTGTTAAAGAGGAATTGTAATTTGAAATCATTGATATGTTATGTAATTGTCAAAAAAAGTAGCACTTGTTTATTCGGAGTTCCCAAGCGGATAACATGAAGCTCATCTTACTCATAAGAGAAACTTCACATTTTTTATTTTTCTTCATTCATTGTTTTGTATTATGGCCCACTTTTGTTTTTCTTTTCTGCCTTTTTATTCTTCATGGAGCATTATTAAAGCGGCACATGGGAAAAGACAAGAGAGAGAGAGAGAGAGTAAAAGAAGAGGTCCAAAGGAGGAACAGATGCATCCCCCCAAAAAGGCAAACTCCAACTTCTAATGCAACCCTTCTAAACATCAACCTGTAGAAGGAAAACCTTCCATCCCATACCTGCCACAAATTTTAAATCAATATGAGAAAATTATTGAGGCTTTGGAAGGAACACTAAACAAAGATGTGTTCTACATGCATTTTTCAAAAGCATTTAACTGTTGCAACCATGGAGTCGTGCCTTATAAAATGAGATTGATAGACTAAACAAAAAAAAGTAGGAATGTGGATATTCAGTTTTTAACAAATATTACACAGAAATGTAGTAAACAAAAAATTCAGTTTTAGTAAAGTAAATAGTACCCCAATTTTTTTCCCCACTCACAGCATGCATAGATACAGACACTAAATACAGTTTCATACTATTATTTGTAGACAGTCCCAAATGAAGCATGAAAGTTGGTTAGCTTCTGGGGGTTAACCTTCCCCATGGCCCAGTCCATGACTAGGCCTCAGTTAGAAGACAGGAAAAATTGCATTTTGCAGAGGAAAATAACGTGATGCTCACTGCACAAGAAATTCGTATTTCTTTGATATGGAACAAATGAAGAACTCAGAACACGTGGAGAATACAGTTGAAGTTCAATTTTGGGGGGACATTTTGATAAAAGAAAAATTGTATATCACACACAAGAAATGAGAGTAATAAATGATGGCAGTTTTAATGTTTAGAGAAAGAGTTTGGAATAATATTTATATGCTCAATAATTACTTTTATTTTCATTATTATATTTATTTTTGTATGGATGTTTAGGAATTAGTCTTTTTTCTTAATTCATATAAAGTAGGTGGAAATGAAATTTTGAAAATGATGATGATAATAAGACGACAAATCATGTAGGCTTTAGAGGTTTCTTTGGTACTAAATGATATATGAAACAAACTTCTAAGATTTAATTGGTGTTTAATGATGTATGAAAAACAAACTTTTAAGGTTTCATTGGTGTGAAATAATGTATGAAACAAAAGCTTTTGAGGTTGCATTGGTGTTAAGTAATGTATGAAGCACAAATTTTTTCTGTTCTACTGTTACTTGGTTCTCCTGATATTTATAAATAGCTTGTTGGTTTTCAGCTCACATTACAGCCTCGCCTCACTTAGTGACATACTCATTTACCGATGACTTGGACTTACGATGGGCTCTCTGACCAGTAGGAATACCTAAATAATGTATATTAGAGCTGATTTCCTCTATTCCGTTTATTACAATGTACAGTACACTACTGTATAAACATTTAAAAATATACTAAAAATGTTATAAATGTTATATCAGAGATGGTTGGCACAAACCCACTACCATTATAGTATGCTCTTTGCTTAGCAATGAATTTGTTTACAGACGTGGTCTTAGGAACAGAACTCCATCAGTAAGTGAGGAGAGGTTGTACTTGTCTTCTCATGAAGCCAGAATTTTAGCTTTGAGTGTTCTCTATGCCAAGGAGACAGATCTTACTATTATACCAAAATTTTGTCTAATGCAAAACCATTCGTTCTTTCAGGTGCGTCGGGATGACAAGAATTCTCTTGGTATTTCAATTGTTGGTGGGAAGGTGGATCTTAGTTGGTCTGGGTCTTCTGTAACAGGAATCTTCATCAAAAATGTTCTTCCTGAGTCTCCTGCAGGGAAAGGAGGCCATTTAAAGGTAGGTCTTTTATTTATTTTTTTTACCACACCAGTCATTTCTTACCAAGTTGATGGGGAAAAGGGCCAGGAAAGGAAACACATTCACCATCTATTAGTGTATGAAGATCATAGTGCAAATGACCTTCCTGGACTGCAGCATCCCTACCTTTCCTTCAGGGTGCAAGCATTGTACCTCCTACCTCCAGGACCAAAGTCGAGCTAGCTGGTTTCCCTGAATCCCTTCATTTAGTTGTACATATATAACCATGGGCTTTCTGCATGCACAACTGTCACCCATCTCTGTACAAACACTGTGTTGTGTGGAAATAAATCTTTGTCTTTGAAAAAAAGGTGTTACCGTGTTCATACTCCAACAGAATGTCAAGTCCTATAAGCCACTTTTCTCCACTCATTCTTATCAAACATGATAACTCATATCTGCTGGAGGTTTAAACCCCTAGCATTTAAAACCTTTTTCACTCCCTCCAGCCCTTCCTAGGAGGAGCCCTGCTGCATTTCACCTGATTAATACACTCTCTTGGTTTCGTATGCGGTGATTGTCCAACTTAATTCACATTTATATTTATAGTAAATGTTAAACCCGTGTGGGTCATTCCGTAGATGTGGCAGAAGTTTGATTGTCCATCCCACATCAGATGCCGTGCATGGTTGTAAAGCCATCAAACACAGGAGCCTTACCTAGTTAACAAGCTAGGAACATTTTAATTTATTTATTCATAGTTGAGATTTAGCATTTATTTACCACTACATTATGGCTATTTAGTAGTACAGTGGAACCTCAAATATTGAACTGTTCCCAACTCAACCAATTATGTAAGTGTATTTTTGAGGGTCTGAAATGAACTAATCTAATTTACATTATTCCTGATGGGAATAAATTCGTTTGGTAACGGCACTCGAACAGCCATCTGGAATGAAGAAAGTTCGATATTTGAGGTTCCACTGTAAACTGTTCTTGCATTTTTTGCGATATGTACAGTGGACCCCCGGTTAACGATATTTTTTCATTCCAGAAGTATGTTCAGGTGCTAGTACTGACCGAATTTGTTCCCATAAGAAATATTGTGAAGTAGATTAGTCCATTTCAGACCCCCAAACATACACGTACAAACGCACTTACATAAATACACTTACATAACTGGTCGCATTGGGAGGTGATCGTTAAGCAGGGGTCCATTGTATTAAGTTTTAGTTTGCATAACAAAATTTGGAACTTTTTATCTGAAGAAATGTGAATGATTTATAACTTTGTGGTAGTTTACCTGTAATTGGTCCCAGGGGCTATTACCCCAGTGGCTTAGTCTTAGACTAGGCCTTTTGGTTGACACCCTGATTAATGAGGCTGTTGGTGCCAGCTGTACACAGTCCAGCATAGGTGCCACGGGCTGGTCTATCAGGAAATAACTTGAGGAATTTATTAAGATCCCCAGTGAAGACAGGCCAGGGAGAAGGAAGGTGTTGGTAGTGCTCCAAGGCACTGTACACACAAAAGAAAAACATGGCGTGCTGACTGTTGAACAGAAATCGGGAATTATTGTCACTTGCTGTAGTAGGCGTCCTCTTTCAAGTATATACATAGATGCCTAATAAATTGTTGATTACATCTTTGGCAATGTGTAATTACCAGTACAGTACAACATAATTTATGATAAATTAGACACATGTGCAACACTTGGGTATCTTTAATGAAGAAATGTTTTGCCACATAGTGGCTTCATCAGTACATACCAAGGAGAATGGTGAAGAACAGGAGGAGTTTGAGGTAATCAGTCCCTCAGCCTTGAGTCGATGTAATCAGTCCATCTTGAAAAGATGGCCTGATTACATCCACTCATCTACAGCATAATTTATGTTGCACAAAGTGGCAATCACTATGTAGTTTAGGCTGAAAATGAACATGGTATTGCCTCCTCCAACATTTTGAGTACATGCTGTGTAGGTGATCTAAGTATCTTATTGGGTAGAAGATTTTGTGTGGTAATGCAGATTTTAATTCTGCATTGAAAGAAAATTATAATTATATTTTAATAAATGTGCCAGTAAAGGTAGAAAGTTGAAAGTGAACATAGAAAAGAGTAAGGTGATGAGGGTATCAAATGATTTAGATAAAGAAAAATTGGATATCAAATTGGGGAGGAGGAGTATGGAAGAAGTGAATGTTTTCAGATACTTGGGAGTTGACGTGTCGGCGGATGGATTTATGAAGGATGAGGTTAATCATAGAATTGATGAGGGAAAAAAGGTGAGTGGTGCGTTGAGGTATATGTGGAGTCAAAAAAACGTTATCTATGGAGGCAAAGAAGGGAATGTATGAAAGTATAGTAGTACCAACACTCTTATATGGGTGTGAAGCTTGGGTGGTAAATGCAGCAGCGAGGAGACGGTTGGAGGCAGTGGAGATGTCCTGTCTAAGGGCAATGTGTGGTGTAAATATTATGCAGAAAATTCGGAGTGTGGAAATTAGGAGAAGGTGTGGAGTTAATAAAAGCATTAGTCAGAGGGCAGAAGAGGGGTTGTTGAGGTGGTTTGGTCATTTAGAGAGAATGGATCAAAGTAGAATGACATGGAAAGCATATAAATCTATAGGGGAAGGAAAGAGGGGTAGGGGTCGTCCTCAAAAGGGTTGGAAAGAGGGGGTAAAGGAGGTTTTGTGGGTGAGGGGCTTGGACTTCCAGCAAGTGTGCATGAGCGTGTTAGATAGGAGTGAATGGAGATGAATGATACTTGGGACCTGACGATCTGTTGGAGTGTGAGCAGGGTAATATTTAGTGAAGGGATTCAGGGAAACCGGTTGTTTTCATATAGTCGGACATGAGTCCTGGAAATGGGAAGTACAATGCCTGCACTTTAAAGGAGGGGTTTGGGATATTGGCAGTTTGGAGGGATATGTTGTGTATCTTTATACGTATATGCTTCTAAACTGTTGTATTCTGAGCACCTCTGCAAAAGCAGTGATAATGTGCGAGTGTGGTGAAAGTGTTGAATGATGATGAAAGTATTTTCTTTTTGGGGATTTTCTTTCTTTTTTGGGTCACCCTGCCTCGGTGGGAGACGACCAACTTGTTGAAAAAAAAAAAAAAAAATGTGCCAGTGTCATGGTGTCAGCTTTTCTATTCTTTGGCACAAGCGTTGTCTGCAAATTTTGTTCTATTAAGACCATTAGGCCTAGAAAACACACACAAATGCAGTATAATGCATTTTACTGCATTTGTGTCTATTTATCTCCACCAATAGGCCTAATAGCCAATACTAGGCAAGTCCTTTTCACATTCAACTGCTTCCACTCATTTATCAATCCTACCCCTAACCTCCCTCTTGCCAACACTGTTACACCCTTTTTTGCTTCTCTTCATTTTTTTCCCTTCTAGTTCTGTATAGTATAGGTGATTTATAATTGTAGAATATTAAGAGTTTTTTATTTTCTCTTTTGTTTGTATAAACTTGTTTGAATGATTTAATAAGTGGCTCACTATAAAGTTATTTTATTCTCTTTTGATAGACTGGTGACCGCATTTTAGAGGTAGAGGGAATTGACCTTCGAGAAGCAACTCATGAAAAGGCAGTGGAAGTTATCAAGAAAACTGGTAATCCAGTTACCTTCGTTGTGCAGAGCTTAGTACAGTGGGTAAGTTTGGACTCACTTATAACAAAGGCTTCAACCTCTCTTTCTTGGTTGTAACATGTACATTACAGCTAATGTATTTTTGAAGAATTTTGAAACTTGTAATGTTGAATTGGCCTTCAAGAAAAGACTGGCTTGGCGGTGGCCCCCAGATGGTAGAGCCTACAAAAAAAAAAAATCTCCATTGGGAAGCGGAAAAGAATTCTTCCTCTGTAAGTCATGCATGTTGTAAGAGGCAACTAAAATGCCAGGAGCAAGGGGCTAGTAGCCCCTTCTCCTGTACAAATTATTAAATTTAAAAAGGAAAACTTTTCTTTTTCTTTTTAGGTCACCCTGCCTTAGTGGGATGTGGCTAGTGTGCTAATAAAAAAATCTCTTAACAGAAACGAGGGAATGGGTAGGGTTTGACCCCATGGCAAGTAAGTCATGAAACTCCAGGCCAATGCATAAGCCACTGGGCCATTTGGCTACGATAAGGTTCATCCAATTAGGTCACTCTTAATAAAAGTAATAATACTGTAGTACTCCTGACAACAATGAACTAGCCAAACAGTCAGTGGTAGTAGGGAGTTAGGCTCATAACTGACAGCACCTGGGGCCAAACCCTGGGCAAAGTGGGGTATATGGCCAAATCTCTAGTACCTGCTGCCTCTAGAAACTAGGAGGCTACTGGGTCTCATCTTGGGGAAGGACCTTAAAAGGACCCAGTGGAAATAAGCCACACTGCTTCATTGTTTTGTGGTATCCTGGGTTGTTAACCTGGGTTAATAATTCAAATAGTCTTACCTTGTACTCCCTCTTCTAGATGTAACCATACTCTACACCCTTTGTTCCCCCTTTTCCAGACAAAACCAAACTCTCCACCCTTTGTTTCCCCTCTTCCAGACATAATTAAACTCTACACCCTTTTTTCCCCTTCTTCCAGACATAACCATATTATACTATTTATACCCCCTCTTCCAGATAAAACCAAATTATACTCCATTTGTACCCCCTCTTCCAGGTGTAACCAAACTATACACCATTTGTAGCCCCTTTTCCAGGTGTTACCATACTTGATTTGAGGCCAAATTAAACAGATATCTTTTTATTTGTGTTTCATTTTCTGCCTCCAAGTGATTTTGCCATTTTTCATAGTGTTCATGACACTTTAATCCAAGCATATTATGCCTCCCTTGTAGCCTGTTTCCAGATGTAATCACATTATTCCTCTTCTTTTGAAATATACATATCATTATCTCATTTTGTGCCTGGTGCCATTTATCCCTCTTAATGGAAACCCCCAAGGAAATTCTGATGGTGAGGTTTCACCCTGCCTCACACTTAGTGGACAGAGGCTCAAGCTACAAAAAACTCCTCAAATTGAATGTCCCACATGTGTTTAGTGCTTCATATATATATTAACTATAATAATTTTTGAGCACCGGCCATCTCCTGCTGAGACAGTGTGGCCTAACAAAGAGGAAAACACGTTCACTATCACTTATTCAATCACTGTCTTGCCGGAAGAGCACCAACATCATGGTTTAAGTGACCTTCCAAACAGTAACATCCCCGCCCCTCCTTCAGTGCCTGTCCTTTGAAGGAGGGGAGGTGATGCAATTAGTATTTCTTCTTTCTTTCAACAAACCAGCCATATCCCACCAAAGCAGGGTGGCCCGAAAAGAAAAACAAATATTTCTCTTTTCAACTTTAGTAATGTATACAAGATAAGGGGTTACTAGCCCCTTGCTCCTGGCATTTTAGTCGCCTCTTACGACACGCATGGCTTACGGAGGAAGAATTCTGTTCCACTTCCCCATGGAAAAGCAAATAGTATTATTTTTATTATTTCAACAAACTGGTCGTATCCCACCGAGGCAGGGTGGCCCAAAAAGAAAAACAAAAGTTTCTCTTTTAAACTTTAATAGTGTATACAGGAGAAGGGGTTACTAGCCCCTTGCTCCCGGCATTTTAGTCGTCTCTTACAACATGCATGGCTTACAGAGGAAGAATTCTGTTCCAGTTCCCTATGGAGATAAGAGGGAATAAACAAGAAGAGAATAGAAGAAAACCCAGAGAGAGAGAGGGTGTGTGGGTGTGCGTGCGTATGCGTGTGTGCATGCGTGCATATATGTATGTATGTATATATACACATACATGCTTGTACATACATGCATGTGTAATGTGACCTAAGCGTAAGTAGAAGTAGCAAGACATACCTGAAACCTTGCATGTTTATGAGACAGAAAGAAAACACCAGCAATCCTACCATCATGTAAAACAGTTACAAGTTTCCGTTTTACACTCACTAGACTTCCCTGGGTGGTTGCTGTCTACCAACCTACTACCTAGGATTATTATTATTATTATTATTATTATTATTTCTTTCAACACACCGGCCGTATCCCACCAAGGCGGGGTGGCCCAAAAGGAGAAACGAAAGTTTCTCCTTATACATTTAGTAATATATACAGGAGAAGGGGTTACTAGCCCCTTGCTCCTGGCATTTTAGTCGCCTCTTACAACTCATGGCTTACTGAGGAAGAATTCTGTTCCACTTCCCCATGGAGATAAGAGGAAATAAACAAGAACAAGAACTAGAAAGAAAATAGCAGAAAACCCAGAGGGGTATGTAAGTATATATATGCTTGTACACGTATGTGTAGTGTGACCTAAGTGTAAGTAGAAGTAGCAAGATGTACCTGTTGTCTTGCATATTTATGAGACAGACAAAAGACACCAGCAATCCTACCATCATGTAAAATAATTACAGGCTTTCGTTTTACACTCACTTGGCAGAACGGTAGTACCTCCCTGGGTGGTTGCTGTCTACCAACCTACTACCTAGGATTATTATTATTATTATTATTTTTTTTTTTTTCAACAAACCGGCCGTATCCCACCAAGGCAGGGTGGCCCAAAAAGAAAAACAAAAGTTTCTCTTTTTAAATTTAGCAATTTATACGGGAGAAGGGGTTACTAGCCCCTTGCTCCCGGCATTTTAGTTGCCTCTTACAACATGCATGGCTTACGGAGGAAGAATTCTCTTTCACTTCCCCATGGAGATAAGAGGAAATAAACAAGAACAAGAACTAGAAAGAAAATAGAAGAAAACCCAGTGGGGTGTGTATATATATGCTTGTACAAGTATGTGTAATGTGACCTAAGTGTAAGTAAAAGAAGCAAGACGTACCTGAAATCTTGCATGTTTAAGAGACAGAAAAAAGACACCAGCAATCCTACCATCATGTAAAACAATTACAGGATTCCGTTTTACACTCACTTGGCAGGACGGTAGTACCTCCCTGGGCGGTTGCTGTCTACCAACCTACTACCTAGGATTATTATTATTATTATTATTATTATTATATCCATGGGAAGCACTGAAGCCTTAGGGATTATATAGTGCCTTGAGAATGGGTGGTAATCAGATTTGATGCAAGGAAGAGGCAGGTCAGTTTCAGTTCCTTGGATCATGAGCCCCTCCTTGGCATCAAGGCACTCCTTTTTTCTCTTTAGAGAGGATTTAAAGAAAAAAAAAGTTTAATTATATATCTCATCTCATTTCAGACATCATCTAACTCGGCCCCTCCTTCACGTGATGTGAGTCGACTTGGTACCAGATATCCCACCTCAATTACTCCAGCAAGAACACCCACGCCAGAACTTATTCAGGTAAGCCGGGAACCCTCCACTACACCATCTAGAGCATCCACTCTTTCATCTACCCTGGACACTCTCATCCAACCAGATGGATTACACCCATGTGGATTAGTTCGATCTGCTGGATTGAAGGATTTCACCAATATCAGAGCTTCGTCAGAAGAGGTTTTTGTCTGTACAAAAGATAATTTGCAGGCTAATATCCCTGGTAGTGAAAGTCCTATAATTCTGCGTGAGTGTGACCCCAATAGGTCAGGCAATCCCTCCATTGACCCTTCCAGTGATAGTGTCAGCCAGTTTCAGCCATCGGCTAGGGACATACAACTTGCCGACCCTTGTGCAGCAGCTCTCGACGCTTCTTCCTCCTCACCTACTTATTCTTCTGTGTATTCTTCTTCTTACTGTTCTGTTGGCACTTCTAAAAGTGTGTGCTCCACCATAGCTCATGCCTCCACCACCACCACCACTACTACCACCACTTCATCCATCAGTCCTACAGCCACCCACACCACAACCTCTACCTCGCTGATGCCCTTTGGGACTCACCACCACCCTTCCCACACAATTGCTGCAGCTTTCACGTTACCCCCCCAGGCCAGCACTCCACTCAGCGAAGGCAGCTCCCATCAGCAGCAGAGCCAACACTTTGGAAGACACCATCCTCCAGACCCAAGAGCCTCCTTTCCAGTGGCTCCCCCAATACCTGAAACTTCAACTCCAATTCACGAATTGTATCCAGAGCCGGTGAGATTTGTGACAGAATCACCCATATCAGAACCAGATGATCCAGATCCGCTGGTAAATCCTTATTATTATTATGCTCGTGCTGCACTAGCTCACTGGCATGTGCGTGCACAAAGACCTCAGGAGCAACAACAAGTGACCGAGGGGGATGGCAGTGGTAGTGATCAGGAAAATAGTACAAGCAGTAGTAGTGAAAGTAGTACAATGAGTCGAAGGTTTCTAGACCTTAGAAATTTTAATCCCAGTTATGGCGTTCAGTTAACGAGACCTAATGGAAGTAAACTTGACACTCCTCCCTCAGATGCTCCTTTAATGGACACTCCTCCATCTGATGTGCCCACAGTGGATGATTCACCAACTGAGGAGCCTCAGCAGTGTGAGCATAGTGAAGCTGATCTTGAGCAGAGTGAATATTTGGTTACTGACCTGCCTTGTGAATCAACTATTGTTGAATGTGAACAAAGTGAAACCACAGAAATTCACCTTAAGTTAACTGATTTAGTGCATAAAGACTTAATAGAAAGTGAGCTTATACATAGTGACCCTCACATTTTTGTTCCTCAGTGCAATACGTTTGAATATGATAATGAAAGTGACCCTTTATCGGCCAGAGTTGTGCTAGATGACTTCCCGCTAGACCCGCCTCTGGATGACCCACCTGTAGGAACATACACTTATGATTGGCGAACGGACCCACACCTGTATCAGGGCTTGTGGTATGTACAAGGATCAGTCAGCGAACGCTTAGCAGCTCAAGTTCCCACGCAACCAGTCTCCCCTTACGACAGCCCTGCTCATTCACCCACCGTTAATACGCCCACCACCGAACAGGTGAGGCTGCCCGCTAGCATTCCATCCACTCATGCCTCTTTAACTTCACTTTTCTAGATATCCCATGTCTTCCATCTAGGTACTAGAAGACACTGGGCAAAGCATGAAGCTCAATTTTTAACTGGCCCACACTTACACCTTTTCTTGCGTGCACATCAGTGTCCCCCCACCTTTGTCTGGATAGCAATGGAATCCACAAGATAACTGCTTTCTAACTAGACCTCTAAAATTAGTGCAGTCAGCCCAGAATCCTTCTGTTATAGTCCTACAGTGATAGAACTGAACAGTATCTTCCTTGTCACCAAGTACCTGCATATCCCTTGAGAACCCCCCAGCCTGCTTAACCTTCTCTCTGCATGTGGCTCTCTGATCTTGTTTTCCTCTCAAGCTGACCCAGTGACAGAGAGTGCACTAGATTTTTTTTAGATAGATACTAGAAAACTTAGTCTAGATTGACCCATTGTTATAAGATTGCATGACAAGGTGAGCAGCTAGCAGTTACCCATGACAAGTATCAATCTTGTGAGCACCTGTGGAAAACAGCCACATACGAGTTAATTTTACATTCCAATCAGCATTAATAAGTAGTTATAACAGGAAGAAAAATTGTAAAAGGAAAGAAATATCTAATAAGCACGAGAGATAATTCAAAGAGAAATCTTGAATGAAACGTTGACAGTAGCTCACCTCCTAGGCCAATGAAACCTGACACTGTCTTTGCTCGTAAGATCCCTTGGGCCATAACAGGTTTGGGAGGGGTGGTGTGTATCAGTGTGACCAGCCACGGCCACAGTTGCCAACCCTTGCATTCTTTTTTAGCTTCTTCTCATTAATGTGAATAATAATTGTACTGTTTCAGTCTTGTTTAGGATCATTACTTTCAAGCAGATATGTAGTGTATATATTGTTTGACTGTTGTTCTTGTTGACTTTTGTTTAAGAGTATTACTGATTAAGTAATTTGTAAAGGAAGAAATTACTATTAAATCATGATATTTTACATTGACATTCATTATATATTTAAGTGGATATATTTTCAACCCCTTACATTGTTACCAACTGAAATAATTATGAATGATTAACATTTCAGACAACATTAGGCTATTTTTCAAAATGTATACATGTACACTTTTTGCCTATTTGGAAACTGCCTTCAGAGTTATCGTGGATAAAGCATCAGGAACTAGACTTAGTTTACCTCTTGTTATGTGTTCTTGAAACTCTACATCATTATAAACATTTTTAAGTTAAAGCTTATCAAGTACACCAAGATAAATAATAATAGGCAGACTTAATTTACATGCTTGTCAACCATATTGTGAGATAAGTTGTAGGTAAAGTTGATACCAGATGAACACCTGTGGAGTATTGATGAATGCTGCATCAACACTATGAGACGTTCATTTCGAGATTGGTTGATAATATTTGGCGGGCATCGAGTTGCCAGATTCCTGAAGAGTGTGGGTATTTTTCATTATATTTTATTTTTTATTTTTATTCATATCAAATTTTTATTTTGTAATTTTTGTGTCAGTAGTTTCATGAAACTCAAGTATAAAATCAAAACAATAGCACTGTTAAAAAGTTTACCTGCTAAGTGATGTGACTTCAAGAGTAAAGATATACACTGTTTTAATACTGAGGATTAGTTTGCAATAATAAGCTCAGCACAAAATTTATTGTGCTATAGTCTTTAGTGCAATGTGTATAAATTTAAATTTAATTAAATTTCATAATAGTAATAGTCGTTAAGATATAGCAGCTCACATTTATGGTACAGGACCTGCCAACATGGGTACAAATTAAATTTATAACATGGGTAGGACCTTAGCTAAGTTCTGCCTAGATCATGAGAACCTGCATAGACTATGGAAAGGACTTGTAAAAAGCATCAATAGGACCTGTCTAGAGTATGGAAAAGACCCATGAACAGCATGGGTAGGATCTGCCTAGCATGCCTAGGACTTGCCTAGCATGTTGAGTGCTTTCCTAGTGTGGGTAGGACATGTCATGTATGGGTAAGACCTTCTTTGCATTGGTAGGACCTGCCTAACAAAGCTGTTAGTCCTGCAATGCTCCTCTATATAGAAGCTTAATGAGAGGACTAGTGGTGATTCTTTGGGCCCTCTCACCAGGTATTCACCAAAGAGATACTAGCAATATTATTGGGCCATTGACCTCCACCTGAGAATCTTGTAGTTTAACAGATGAGTAAATACCTCTTAGTTCAATACATTTAATATTGTTTTTGTGTTTTTGATGCTGATATGGCTTATCAGGTTTGCACATGAAAAGGCAGCAGTATAGTAGGTGCCTGATCAGCCAGGTTGTGATGGCTATTCAGGCATGTGAGCCACAAGCATTTCGGGCAACTTAGGTTAATCTTGTTCCCCAGGATGCGACCCATAACCAGTGGTACCATCGTGTGAATATCGTATATCAAATTTTTCGTCACAACTCGAAACTAAATTACTCTGTGAGGGTAAATTGTAACTCATAATTATCGTAATTCAAAGTTATTGTAACTCAAGCCCATTGTAACTCGAGCAACCACTATGCAGCTTTTAGGGGCTAGCATACTTGAATTCAGTATCAGTTTACATCTTTTGGGGACTAGCATACTTAAATTCAGTGCCAATCTATATCTTTTAGGCGGCTAGCATACTTTCATTTGATATCAATCTATATATTTTGGGGGGCTAGCATACTTGAATTCAATGCCAGTCTATATCTTTTGTGGGGGCTAGCATACATGAATTCAATATTAATCAACATCTTTTGGGGGCTAGCATACATGAATTTGGTATCAATCTACTTTTTTTGTGAAGGTTAGCATACTTGGTTTGCAGATATGCAAGTCAGAATGAATGAGTTACAGATATGCGAGTCATACATATGCACCTCACAGATATACGACCCACAGCACATGAGCCGCAGATGTATGAACTGAGATCTCTGATAATGAGTAATAAGATATTTTGTAACAGATGTTGCAAATAGATGACTTTGCTGCAAGCAAACTTGCATATATAGGGGAAATACAGTCAAGTGTATAAATTCCTGTGCATTGAAAAGTGCTGCTTAAATAAGTGATTTTACAGTAAGTAGGATCTTACTCATTCACCAGGTTTTGAAAAATCTCACTGTAAATATTGTATATATGATCCAGTTTTTGTAAATATAAAATCTGATTACATTTTAATCCTCGACTTCTGATATAACAATCCATTGGTAAATTTCATTTTTAACATTTATTTTTGATGTTTATTGGAGTTCATCCATAAACTGTGTGTACAGTACTATATTAGATATACAGTAAAGTACTTGAGTGCTTTTTCTTCGAGTTTTTAACATTATTCTGATGTGACAGTCAGAGAATCCCCCTATTAGTCCCTTATATTAAGGTACTACAGTATCTGTTATAGTATTTAAATGAAAGGGATAAATGTATGCTCTAGGCTAGTAATGTAAAAAATTTAACTATACTCAGCAGTGTTGGTAATTAGTAATTTGAAATTAAGATTCGAGTAATACACGAGGGAAGTAGCACTGACCCAAGAGCCTTGATGAATGGATTTATTATGTTTCTAAGCTTTAAGTTATAAAGATTCTCATATAAGTATGGTTTTATTTGTTAACTCATTTTTAAATCTTTGTATCAATTTTTCCCCCTCTCTGAAGGCTTGTGTGCCTGACCCACCTATTGAGGATATTTTATGAAGTTCAGGAATATTACTTCTTCCACTCTATGTATCAGAGGAATGGGGTAAGGCTGACACAAATAATTTAATAGAAATAAATTTTACTACAAGATACTGTGTGTTATTTTATTGGTCTAACGTTAACTGCTCCCGAGACAATTTTTGCATATTACCCGGAAGTTATTTAAAATATTTACAAATTTTTTAGGGGTGAGGGGGGTCATACTGATACACATTGCATTTTTTTATTGATATAGTATGTGTTTATTATGGGAAGAGCTTCATTCAGTAATGTATTGTTTACAGAATGTTTTAGCAGATTAATCTCAATTTTGCTTGACTCAGAAATTACTCTTAATAATTATTAAATTTTTTGTTAGCTTACAGGATGTAAGTTAGTTACTTGACAGCACTGGTCACATCACTTTGTTCCACTGATATTGTTTACTTTTTTCACCCTGCCATTTTCTGAGATAATATACAAAAGAAAAGTTAGCATGAAATGCTATTCAGAATTTATGGCAGGGTTCAGTGATTTGTTTTCATAGAATCTTGTAGAAGTATCATTGTAATGGTGGGTCATGATAAATTTATTATTATGCACTGTCATAATCCCATGTATGTGGGAAATGGTTGATTTGTTGAAAAGAAAAATTGCAGTTCAGAGGGTCGTCTGAACTGTGATGTCAGTGCACTTCTGACAAGACAGTGATTGAATGAGTGACGGTGAAAGTAATTTTTTTTTTTTTGTCTTACCACAGTGGGAGATGGCCGATATGTTAAAAGAAAGTGGTAAACTCTCATAGTGACCTATTAGTTATAAAACCAATGAATTTATTCATATTAGCATAGTACACTATGGTAAGAGCTTTTCAAAAGCGTCATTATATGACAAGTACGGCACTACCGCAGTGCAGAGCCCATAGTGTGTACAGCATCACAGTTCAATGTCATGGTTAGGAATAGCATTTGCTCATACTGTATAAAGAGTTTTTCCATATGCTGTATTGGTATTAATATATATTGCAATGTTAGATTGGTTTATTTGCCTGCTGTGATATTTTACATTTACGTATATACTTTACTATTTTCATTTTCTCTGCTTATTGTACTTGCTTGAATTCAAAAATGTTTTTTTTTTTAAATTGAAATGTTAATGATAAGCTCTCACTGCATCCAATAATATTTTCATTATTATTTTGAATGCCTCTCCAATAAACATTAGTTAGACTGGTATTACTATAAATTTTTGCATTATAGTCACTTATTTATCTATGGAATACAGTAAGTTGTTTATTATTACTGAATGTTTAACTATAGGTTTAAATATATATACAAGTGAATTTTAATTATTTAATGTAATTGTGTCGTA